AATTGTGCCGTTTGTGCACAGCTTGGAGCCCTTGGCCAAATTTGCGGTGTGGGATTGTGCAGACCCCCCCTGCAACCCTGGGATGGGGCTTTCTGGGCTGGTGCCCAGCTTGCTAGTGGGTAAACAAACATATTGCAGTAAAAATGCCATTGCACTAGCACAAAGTGGTCCCGGCTGGAGACCTCCACCCTGGCAAGCTGGATGCCGGCCGCTTCCCTCCCGGCCCGTGCCGAGCCGTAGGGGGACAGGAGAGTCACTGCCGGTGACGTGCAGTGGAGCCTTGCTAGGCGCTTGCCGGCGGCAGGAGGAAATTTTAAGAGCTGGGGTAGAAAACAGAATGAAAGGGGTTGGTTTGGGTTTTTTTTTGACCGGTTGATGGGATCCCGTGGATGTAAGGGCACGGGAGGAGATAAGGCAGCTGGGGTTCCCAGGAGGAACAGTCACAGCGAGCAAGTGAGAGAACGTGGGGTAACACAACTGATTGTCCCCTTGATTCCTCGGGTCAGGCTGTGGCTTGGAAATTCCTGTTCATTCTTAAATCCAGTTGCCCGTCTGGCAGTTGGAGGAAAGGGACACCGAGTCCTTGTCCATCAGAGCGGGGAACACTGGGCTCGCTGTGGCGGCGCAGGTCCAGGGAGGAGGGATGTGCCAGTGCGGCCGCGGCCAAGGGATGGGACGGGTGCAGGGTGGGCTGTGCTCGTTAGTGAAAGGTGATTTGGGTGGGGGTCTTGGCTGTAACGAGGTGGGGTGTGCGTGTGTGTGGGCAGGGTCCTTCCTGAGGCACTATAGCAGCCGAAGGACGGGAGAAGTGGATGTGCAGGCTGTGCCGGCGGCAGCTCCTCGGTCCCAGGGCACCCTGGAGGTCGGCACCGACTGGAGGAAGGTTAAGGAGGTGTGAGAGCAGCAGGCAATTCCTCCAGGCCGTGGGCAGGGAGCGGCTGGAAATGTGCTATGGCCAATTCCTCTCAAAGGTGCTGGGAAGGGCTGTGGCATCCCCGTCCCCGGAGCTGAGCCGTCACGGGATCCCTCCGAGCCTGGAGCAGAGCATCCCCTGGGAGTTTTGCATCATCTTGTTACCCGATGGGAGATTATTTACTGAAGTCCTGTTCCCTGACCGCCCCCGTCACCGGCTTCTCAGTCCTACAAGGGGGCAGAAGGGATGCTGCCGAGGCGGCAGCCGGGGCTGCCGAGGCGGCAGCGGGGGCGAGGGGGAGCTGCTGGCACATCACCATTGGCACTAATTGCTTGTTCACCTCTGTAACACGACAGGCGGCGGAGGGGAGAAGGGCTGGCGAGCTGGCCAGGCCACCAGCTCCGCTAATAAATACATGGCTCATCTGAACTGTACAAGGCGCGGGCCGAACTGCGGGGCAGTGCTTCTCGCCTGGAAGAGATGCCTCCGAGCTGCAAGGAGGAGAAGACAGACCTGGCTCAGATCTCGGTGGCGATGATGTCCTCGTAGGGGACGTCAGCGCCGGGTATGTCCAGCTCGATGGGCTCCTTGCCATCTTCCCCCGCGGCGAGCTGCTGGAGCATCTTCTCCAGGTTCTGGTTCCTCTTGTACATGTGCAGGTAGCTCTGCTGCAGCTGCTTCTGGTAATGAATCACCTTCTCTTTCTCCTCCCTCCACGTCTGCCGCTCGTGCTGGAAGCCGGAGGTCATCTGCTCGTTGTTGTCCCGCTCAGCCTTCAGCTCTGCCCTCAGCCTCTCCACCTCTCCCTGCAGGGCTTGAGCATCATCCACCACGGCGCAGGGCCTGGCCACCTCCCGGGCTTCGTTCAGCTGCTCCTTGAGGATGGCGAGCTCTGTCCGCAGGTCCACGATCTCCTGCTCCAGCAGATTCACCTTCTCCCTCAGCAGCTCGGACTCATTCTTCTTGCGCTGGAGCTCATTCTCGCACACCTCCAGCTCCATAGCTTTGGTGCGCAGGGAGCCCTCCAGGTCCTGGGTCTTCATCTCCAGCCCTTCCATCTTCAACCTCACCTCCTTCAGCTGAGCCTTCAGGCTGAGGATCTCGGTGGTCTTGGTGTTGAGCTCTGTCTGGGACTCCTTCAGCTGCTGCTTCAGGAGGGAGATCTCCCCTGACTTCTGGCACACCTGTGGGGAGGGATGCAGCACCCGAGTTAGGGCTGCACCTGGGAGAAAAGCCCACAACACCCACGGTACCCTGTGCAAGCCATGCTGGGCATGGCTGGGGTTTGGCACGTGGAGACCCCGGCCACCAAATCCCACCCAGAGAGATGCCCCAGCACAGAGAGCGATGCCCTGGGCTCGAGGGGACCCCACGTTCTCCATACATCAACACCCCAGCTGACACAGAGGGCTGCTAGCGAACAGCCGTGAGGATTTAAGGAGCTGACACCCTCAGCCAAGGTGTGGAAATGGAGGGTGTCGAGGAAGTGCTCCAGTCTCAATACCCCGTCCAACACGTTTGCCAAAACCACCGCGGATGGCTCACACGGTCAGTTAAACTCGCTGAGCTCGTTTCGCAAGCAGACACCCGACTGCACCCTGCACCCTACAAAACTACAGCTGGGAGCAAAGCCTGTAAATCCCACTGGAGCATCCCACGGGAGCCTAAAGCGTGCCTGGTACAGCTGCTCCCAGACAGCTGTTGGGGGGTTCGGTGTCCACCTGCTCTTGCTGGCACCCTGTGGCTGCAATTTCGGTAGGGTTTTTGCAAACAGTCTGGAAAGGGGGCTTGAAAATGCAAAGAACCTAGAAATACTGAAAGCGATATGAGAAATCCTTGCATGCGAGGGAGCGAAGCTGAGCACCCGGCTCCTGGGGGCACGCCGGGCAACAGCTATGCCTCTCCCTGTCCAGCCGCAGTGAACTGATGTTGGCGTACGGTATTCAGGTGGGTGAGCAGGCTCGCTTCTGAATTTTCAGCCGTTTAACAGTCTTTGGTCAGCGGCACCCCATCAATGAGAAAATTAAGCTTAAGCAGAGAGTGGAAGGTTTTACTGCTCTCTAATAAATGACCGTGGGAAGTCCAGGTAGTTCCTATTTACAGGGAGGAAGGCAGCTTTACTGCTCCTTTGGGGCAGGCAGCCTGAAAAACCCTGCGCTGGAGGTTGGAGACGCAAAGTTATTTTAATGAGTGGGGTTTTTTATGCAGTAGTTGTTTCCTTACGTGATGTGAAGTGCTGAGGGGTTAAGAGGGGCAGCGAGTCACTCAATTATAACTTACAGACTAGGGCTCTCCTTGGCTTTAATACCTATCTCCTACAAGCTGGGCTTAGTGCATGCACCATCTGCTCTGCTCAGACCCTCCATAGAATCATAGAATCATTGTGGTTGGAAGAGACCTCAGAGATCATCAAGTCCAACCGTATACCTGATGCCACCATGCCCGCTAAACCATGTCTTGAAGTCCCACATCTAAACATTTTCTGAACACCTCCAGGGATGGTGACTCCACCACCTCCCTGGGGAGCCACCAGTCCATGGTGCTGCTGGATGCGGGTATAGAAATGGAGAGGAGCTGCGTGGTTTACTGCTGGTGCTGGAGCTATCGCCTTCCACACAGACGCTTTGCCGTCGGCATCGGCAGCCCGAGATGCCGCTCGGAGCTCCAGTGCCGCTTACCTCCCACTGGGTCTCCTCCAGCGCTGGGGCGAAGCTGGTCTTCTCCTTCTCATAGGACCTCAGCTTGGTCTCCAGTAGGTTTTGCTCTTTCATGAGGTTCTCCAGTTCCTCCCGGAGCTGCTTCTTCTCCTGCTGCAGCTGAAACACCTGGAGGTGAAGGACCTGCTGCGTCCGCTGCGTTTTCTGTGAGGTTTGCTTGAGCTTGCTGTTGCATTTCTGCTTGAGGCCCTCCAGTTCTTCCTTGCAGCGTCGCTGCTTCTCTTCGTAAGCCTGGCAGGAGCTGACTTCCTTCTCCTCGAAGCTCGACTGAAGCTCCTGCAACTCTCCCTCCCTCTCTAGCAGCTTCTGCTCCAGCTCCTGGATGGTGGACTCGTCCGTGGAGATGGGCGAACGGATGCAAGTGGTCTTCTCGGCGGCGTGGTGGTGGGAGGCTTTGCCAGGGTTGAGGATCTTGTTGCCCCCATCGGAGAAGGACATGGCCTTGAGGCTCATCATGTTGCTGTCCTGGATGATGGCGCACTGCAAGATGTTGTGGGCTGAGCCCCCGAAACGGCTGATGGGTCCCATGGGCGTGACGAGGGGGTCGAGCTGGTAGCTGCTGCTGGTGCTGTGGGTGGGGAGGCTGGACATGGAGTTCCT